TGTCAACCTGGCTGGCCCTCCAAGCAGCCCTTCTGCCGCAGCAGCAGCAACAGCAACAGCAGCAACAGCAGCAACAGCAGCAACAGCAGCAAGAACAGCTGAACGCGCTGCTCCGTCGAGCAGGACTGCAGCGAGTGCAGCATCACGGGAGTGCTGCGCAGTCTCAGCAGCAACATCAGCAGCAACAAGAATCACTTCCTCGTTTGCTGCAGCTGGTGCAATCTGGTGGCACTGCTGCTGCAGCAGCAACGGGCGCTGCAGCACGTGAAGAGTGTCTCCTTCTTTCAGCAGCAGCGGAGACACTTTGTGGACTCATTCTAACTCTAGCAGAAGCAGGAAGTTTTGTTTTGCTGCTGCGCGGCTTCGCCCTCTTCGACCCCAAAAACCCGCTGATGCATTTGCTGCTCTTCTTCAGGTCAGCTGCTTCCTCTATAAGGGAGGCGCATGAGGCAACATAGAATGACTCCTGTTGCTACTGTTGCTGCTGGATGCTGCTGCTGTTGGCTGCTGCTATTGGCGGTTGTTGCTGCAGCTGCTGCTGGCTAAGACGCAAATGTTTGTTCGTGTGTGGGAGCAGCAAAGCCCCAGAGGCAGTGCAGAGTGTCACGATTGACAGGTGGTTGGATTGAAGATTAAGATGTACATCTGCATGCAACCATGCATGCATATGCATGCACGCCTGTACTCTGCGTACATATGCATACATGCATGGGTTGTGCATGCATCTGCATATTGTCTTTCAGGGCCTTCTCCCAGAGGAGATTTAACACAGCTGCAGCGGCGCTGCGGCGATTTGTCTCTTTCCGTAGCAGCAAGCATCAGGCAGCAACTCCTGCAGCAACTGCTGCAGCAGGTGCTGCACCAGCTGCTGCAGGAACAGAGACAGCCCCAGCAGCAGCAGGAGATGGAGCATCAGATGGAATCACCTTGCAAGCAGCAGACATTCGTCAAGTCAGCAGCGAACTGCTTCGCATGCTGCTTCTGTCTCAGGGTCCTCATATGCACCCGTTGGTGCAGCTGCTGCATGACGTTGGCTACTCTCGCGGCTTCTGTCTCCTTTATCACGCGGCTGTCTTCTGCAGCGGTGACAGTCTCGTGCTGCAGCAGCAGCTGCAGCGTCTACTGCAGCAGCAGCTGCAGCAGACGGTCGACGTACCGCTGCAGGAGACCCGCAGCGACCTGTTGCTGGCGCTGCTGCAACGGCGCAAGTATGCAGAGGCCCGGCAATGGGCGAAACTGGCAGGTAAGCTTTGGGGTTTAGGGCTTGGCAATACCAGCAGCAGCAGCAGCAGCAACAGCAGCAATATAGGAAACCGAGCTCCCAGAAGAAGCAGCAACCACAGCAGCAGCAGCACTCGCGACAGTAGGATGGAAATGCTTGCAAAAAACCTACTGGCTCCTAATGGTACTCCGCTAGTTGTGGCAGCTGCTGGTGCTGGTAGTGCTTCTCCTCGTACTGTTGATGCCGCTGCGGTTGCTGCTGCTGCTGCAGGGTTGGGTTCTAGCTGCGTGCAGCTGGTGACAGTGCACGAAGCGGCTGAGTGCCTGGAGTTGCTGCGCAGGAGCAGCAGAAGTTTCAGAGGTTGTGTGGAGGAGCGACTGGGTGTGTGGGCCCGCTGCTGCAGTGTGTTTGCTGCGCACAAGTACCCCCAAGTTCTCGCCGCAGTCTTCTTGCTGACTGTCTCCGCACAGATGGAAGGGGACATCTCCCTCACTGAACAGGCCTTCGTACTCGCTGCTGCCCTCAGCCTCTTCGGCCCCCCACACGCCCTCCCCCCGTTAATGCCCACGCGAGAGGCTCTGCTGCAGCACCTTGTACTCTGTGCACAAGGCAGCTGCTCGAAATGTAGCAGCAGCAGCGGCGACAGCCACAGCAGCAGCAGCAGCGGCACTGGCGGCATCACTCTCGTCGATTGCCTGCCCCTGCAACCGGAGGAGATGCGCTCCGTGTTTTGGATAAGGCAAGCAGATGCTGCTGCTGATGCTGCAGCAGAAGAAGAGGGATTCTTCTGCT